CACTGTGTCTCCAGTGTTGTCCCCCGTAGTGCCATGGGTCAGTGAGGGAATCCTGTGGTGGGGCTGGACCTATGGTCCTCTCTGTGCGTTGGCTCTGAGCAGGAATATCGTCCTCAGGGCTTGGTGGGCCAGGATGTGACCCACTCTCTCCTTCACTCTTCCTTTTCTCCTGCATGCTCTGATCAGATGCGCCCAGTTCTCTGTGATGAGCTGTAGCTTCAGGGTGTCCTCTGGAGCGCATTCTTCTGGGGGGTGGATGGGGTGGGTGGGTGGTTACGCAATCCTTTGAGAACCTCTAAATAGAAAGCTTGATTAACAGTCCGACCTGGTGGAACAAACTCCAAATGGGGTACAAGTTGACATTTTTGTCCATTCAGGAAGTTGACCGATGTCCAGAAGTTTGTCAGGATTGTCATCCATCGAACTTTCACCTTTTTTGAAAAGAGAAAACCACTTGTACAGTTGTTTTCCTACAGCACTATCCTTGTATGCTGTGTTCAGCATCACAACAGTTTCTGGGGCATTTTACCTGAGCAGGAAACACAATTTCACAGCCACACTTTGTTTTCTTAAATTGCCCATCACAAAAAAATGAGGTTTGAGCAAAATTAGTTTTACGAAAACATTCACTGTGGCCAGGGAGAACCTTCCCAGGTGATGCCACTGGGTGCACTAGCTCAGAGCGAGTTAGTTACTCAATGCTCAATGCTCGCCTAGCAGGAAAAAATCATACTATGAAAGCTCTGTTCCTCCCAGTGCAATTCTGGGTTTTTTTGGAGGTATATAAAAGGCCATATAAGGAAATAATAGGAAACTGACACACACCAACTTTAACCTAATGGTGACTGGCATGGGTGGGCAAGTATGAGCTATTAACTATACTTGTGTCCGTATTGTTGATAGTCACAGTGAGGGGAGAGAATGCAGTGTCTATCATAGTCTACCTTGTGTGACCCAAGACAAGTTTCCTAATCTCTTTTTTGTTTCCGTTTTGTATCTGTAAAATTGGACTAGTAATAGTATCTGTCACAGGGTTGTACGGATCAAGTAAGTAAAAACAGTTAAAGCAGTTAGAATAAACCGATTGTTGCCCAGTAAATTCCAACTCGTGTTGATATCTATGGGCCACGGCAGAACTGCCCCACGGGGTTTCCAAGTCTGTGATCTCTGTGGGAGCAGACTTCCACATCGTTCTCTCAGAGCAGCTGGTAGGTTTGAGCCTCCACGCTTTCTGTTAGCAAATAAGCACTTAGCCACTGGCGCCCTTCGGATTCCTACAGCAAAATGTTGACTCCTGTCAAATCTTAATTTACTGTACAAGCTCTATATATTTGAAATAAACCATAATTTAAAAACTAAAACTTGGATCGCAATGAGCATTTCACATATCCATTGTAACGAGGAAGCCAAGGAAGCAACTATTAGCTTGTGTGGGTCTCAGAAGAACGTGTCCTGTAAAATGGAATGTTCTAGATGATCGTTGTTTCAGAAAATTCCAGGCTGCTTCATCAAGCTTACCAATTTATTGCCTAGGAGCCAGTGCTACTCCCATCAACATAATATAACGGCCCCTAGAAACAGGCTTGGGCTACCTCTTAGAGAGGGTGAGGGTGTGGTTAGGTAGCTCCGAGTCCTGTTCAGACTCGTAACAACCCTGTGGACAACAGAACAAAACACTGCCTGGTCCCGTGCCCTCCCACTATGGTCATTGTGCCTGAGGCCGCTGTAAGCCCATCTCACTGAGGGGCTCTCTCACTGACTTTTCCAAGCGTGATGTTCTTCCCCAAGGACTGTTAGATCTCTCGGGGAGAGATGCACCTCTGTCTTTGGCTCTGCGCGAGGAGGAATTCACGCCGAAGCCTGGTTTGTGATCCCAGTGGGTTTATAGAGAATAGCAGGAGTTTTCGGGTCCTGCTGTAAATGGAACACAAGCCAGACAGAGTCCGCGGCACAGTTGGGGGACCACAGCCCGGCTGTGCTACCTTGTGGAGCAGCCGCTGGGAAAGAGAGCCCAGAGCCAAACCTCTGCCTTTCCAGGGGCCCCGCTGGGAGGCATGGTCGACAATACTGGTCGACCCCCTTGGCTGAATCAAATTCACCTGGCTCAGATGGGCCAATCCAGGTGTAACGCCCATCTAGATGCACCACCCCTTCCTGGCCAGAACCTCTGAGCATGCGCGGTGGACGCCCCAGTCCCTGTGCTAGCTCTCTAACAGTTGCTCTGGATAACAAGTCCGAAGTACATGAGTCAAAGTCTCACCATGCTTGCTTTTGAGGAGCGTTCAGGCTCTCCTTCTCCCCAGGCAGCTGTGGAAGTTCAGGGCACATGTAATATTTTTCACCAGCCCCACAATTCAAGGGCAGCTGTTCTTCAGTCTAACTTACTCACTACCCTCCTTTCACATGCATATGAGGTGATCGGAAGTCACACTTGGGTCAGGGGCACCTTAGTCCTCCAAGTAACCTTGCATTTGAACACTTTTTTTAAAAGTCATCTTATTGGGGGCTCAAACAATTCTTATCACAATCTATGCATACATCCATTGTGTCAAGCACATTTGTACATATGTTGCCATCATCATTCTCAAAACATTTGCTTTCTACTTGAGCCCTTGATATCAGCTCCTCATTTTCCCCTCCCTCCCCCATCATTTTTTTCTTTCAGTCATGAACCCTTCATAATTCAGAAATTATTATTATTTTGTCATACCGTATACTGTCTGAACACTTTAAAGAGGCTTGCTGCAGATTTGCCCCATGCAATACGTTGTTTGATTTCTTGACTGCTGCTTCCACGGGCAGGACTTGTGGATCCAAGTAAAACGAAATCCTGAACAACTTCATGTCGCTGCTTATCCTGATGCTGCTGATTGATCTAGCTGTGGAGAGTTTTGTTTTCTTTATATTGAGGTGGGGGGGATTTAACCAAAACACCCCCCAAAACCCCGTGAGCTACCTGACTAAGCAGCATGCTCAGGGGTTCATCTTAGCGACTGCACCAAGCGCAGTGTGAGTGAATGGGAGCGTGCCTCCATATTTGTGAGCCATATAGGTAGAGCCAAGAGAGAACGGGAGTCCCAGACGTCTCCTCATTTGCCCTTGTGTGGGAGGTACAAGTGGGGAAGTGGATGTGTGTAAGGACATCTTGTTGGTCTCTAGATGGCAGGACGACATCCATGGCCGTCTGACATTAATATGGACGCTGTTTTTGTTAAGGCAGCTAAGAATGGAGCCACCGGCGTGGAGCTGGACCTTGAGTTTACTTCCGACGGGATCCCCATCTTAATGCACGACAACACCGTGGACCGGACCACCGATGGCACTGGTTATTTGTGTGACTTGACATTTGAACAGATCAGGACACTGAACCCTGCAGCCAAGCACAGGTTGAGGTGAGTGGTTTCTGGTCACCATCCTTCCCCTTTGTTTGAAGTTCACAAAGGAACACGGGGCCCCTTCCAGTTGCACTTTTCTGCCCCAGGAGAGGCTGTTTATTTGGTTTGGCTTTGAAGTGTATCAAGGTTTCTCAAGAAATGAGCAGATGCCAGGAACAACAGAAACATGGGCTGTATGCTTTTCATTCTTTTTTGTGCTGAGGCCACGTGAGGCCTGGGAATGGGCCTCAGCACAATACTCGGTCCAGTCATTGTTTTGACAGTTCACGTTGCTCCAGCAGATAGATTATAGGTTCATGAGGCCGGAGGTACCCCCAATGGCTTACTTCACTCTTCTCGCCTCCAGACTCACCAGAAAACCAATTAAGTGGTTTAAAAAAAAAAAAATCTTCAAGTAATACTATCACCTTTTAATCTAGCTCTTCTCCACCCCTCCCCCCCCCACCACTTTGTAGGTACTTATAACCAACTTAGGAGGGATCATAGAATTCTAAAAGCAGAACATGCCCTAGAAATAATCTAGACTAGAGCTTCCTACAATAAGAATGTTGTCTTAAAAAAAAATGTCTACCTGCACTTATCCGCATATGACTCTTGGGCACTTGACAGGTAGCTAGTGCAACTGAGGGACTTAATTTGTTTTTCACTGTGGCCATTAGATATGTAGCAACTCATTTGCTAGCTCAACAGTCTTCCCGTGTGAAGTTCAGTGGCATTAATTATTATCATTTTGTTGTTCAAAGGTCACCCTTATCAGAGGAACTGGATTTCTAAAATTAAAGGTAGCCTGTATGGCTCCCTTCCTGGACACAGTGCAGATCTAGATCAATCCCACTTTTAAGGATTATTCCAGAAAAACTAAATGACCTACCAGGACTGTTGAACAGTGATCTCCATTTTGAGCCCAAAGAAACTTACAGCATGCTATGCAAACGCTGCTTGCCCTGGTGTTTCTCAAAACTGTCGGAGAGCAGCTCGGGTGCCTGCCTGTGCAAATCCCCGCCTGTGGGAGTTCAAGCCATTGTCTCCATAGTTTATGTATCGAAGCCGGCCCTACAGGATGTTACACAAGAAAGGGATTCTATGGGCAGATCAGTTTGGGGAGCCGTGTGCTCTGAATGGCCCTCTTGGGACTAAACAGTACATGCCCAACAATCGATTCTGACCTTCAATTGTACTTAGCATTTCTCAAACTTAGGTGACTGTGGGTTTTATTGACTCCAGAACCCATACTCTCCACCCACCCTGTGTCAGTCATAAAAATCCTTGGAATTGAAATCCAACGAACCAAACTTCTCGATCATCGAGATGATTCTGACTCCTGGCAACGGTGTAGGACAGAGTAGAACGGCCCCACAGGCTTCCCAGGGCTGTCACTATGGATGGACGCTGACGGCAAGGCAGCTGGTGGTTTCTGTCCACCTTCAGGTTAGCAGCCGAACACTCAACCACTGTGTGGAGTTACTGTACTGGGTAATACACTTTGGGATGTAGTTACGGAAATTCCTCGTCTCTTGCCTTCTTTATAATACCGTTGCCACGTGCTTTGGAGCTGATTGCGACCCCTGGGGACCCTGCGTGGCCGAGCAGCGCCGCCTGGTGGTGTTTCTCAGGCTGTCCTCCTTGCAGGAGCAGATTGCCAGGTCGCTTCTCCCACCGAGGCACTGGGAGGTTCAAACTGCCGACCTTGCAGTTAGCAGCCGAGTTCTTGAACCAGCGTGTCCCCAGGCTCCTGGTGCTCACTGTCATTTCCATAATCTCGATTACCTGTGCCTCATGAATATAGTCACCCCAGTGACGGTCCGCCTAAAAGTTGGCTCAAGCCTTATTTTCACACGAGCGGACAGAAATGAAAGTGAGCTCCAAGAAGCCATAGTGCAGCCCAGAGAACCTTGATGACGCTGCCCAGTTCTCAGCCTAGGCCGCTGGACTGCGGGATTGCAAGGGAGAGGCTGGTTCTGATATGCAGAGCACAGAGCAAAAAGGGGCAAGGAACAACATCACCTTTAAAAGTCCTTTAACCCACTCAGCGCTCTCCCCCCCACCCCACCCCCTCGACTCTACTCTGACTCATAGCGACCTCATAAGAGAGAGGAGTTATGCTCTGCTCCGTACAGTTTCCAAAATCCTAAATGTAGAGAGCAGACAGCCTCATCAATCTCCTTCAGCGCAGTTGGTGGATTTGAACTGCCAATCTGGCAATTAGCAGTCCAGCACTTAACCCATTGTGCTGCCTTGGCCCCTTAAAAACCCTTTCAGAAGGCACTATATGAGAGTCAATATTCCATCTTAATAAGTCTTAATGCAAAAAAAAAAAAAAAAGTCTTAACACATCCAGTTTTTGCTCTAAAAGTGAATCCCGTTACATTTTCTTTGATTGCTGACGGATGCAAAGAATTGATTTGTGTTACGGACCACGCTGTAGGGAAAATCGGTGTTTCCTCCAGAGGCGTGTCCGTTGTGCTGAGACACCTAACATAGCTGAATTAGCTCGAGTGAAACCATGAACCAATAGATTTGACTGCCAGAAAAGCTGATATCTTACCTATCAGGCACTGAGACGTCATTTTCTTCAAAACGGGTGGATTGGGAAGTCGTGTAAGGCAGTGGCGCTGGAACAGGTGCACATCTCCAAAGATTGGGGTATTCCCAGGAACTTCTGCTGCCTAGCGCAGCGGCCGTCTTACAGTGAAACTCCTGCGCTCTCTAAACACTGGACCTTGTGTTCCTGGAGTAATTCCGTGAAAACAAAATGACCGTTGTTGTTACCGTTCTGTGATCAAGAATATTTGTCCTTTGGTTCCAGGACCAGCGGTCATGAGCTGTGGGCTTTGGCTTGGTGAAGAAAGGAAGCCGGGAAAACCACTCTTTTTTTGGTTTTTTAATAAGTTGGGAGACATTTGCAAAATATCTGTTCTGCTAAACTTTTCTCTCTTCTGTTTTTCTGCACCCTATGACTTCCTTTCCCCTCTCTTGTAGGAATGATTTTCCTGATGAAAAGATCCCCACCCTGAGGGAAGCCGTCGTAGAGTGCCTAACCTCTAACCTCACCATCTTCTTTGATGTCAAAGGCCATGCCAACCTGGTACAGTGTTTACCACGGGCGTCCCCTTTTACAAACGCCATCTTACTTAGCTACGAGCCGTTTCCAGAATGAAACATGTGTTTTAGGACTTATTCTTTTTTCTTGTTATTTTCACAAATCATAACATAGGTCCTTAAAATGGAAGTATACAAGGCAAAACAACAACAACAAAAACCGCCCCCATCTTTACAGAAAATAACTCCTAGTGTTTTGTAGCCAGCACACAGGAGAAGCGTATAGAGCATTTACCAGAACACTGCCCTTGCTGCCGGAGTTCCCCCTCACACCACCCTCCTTGTCACACAGAGTAGAGCGGCTCCCACAGGTTCCCAAGGCGACCCAGCCTTTCATTGTTCTCCCTCAGAATGGCTGGTGGTTCGAACTGCCAACCTTTAGGTTAAAAGCCAAGCACTTAACTACTGTGCCACCAAGGCTCCTTAAAGCGTTTGCAAAAAGTATTAAACAGCAAAGAGACATTTCCAGAACCGACCCCTCAAGTCATAAAAAGGAATTCAGGAACTGAACAAGACTAATTGCATTTGCCTGTTAAGGGTCTTAACTGGACGACATAGTGACAGCTTCTGAAAGCTATAGAATATCTTTTGTATGAAGTTACCCGCTTTTGTAGGCTTTCTGATAGAAGTTTGTTACTCAGTGATTTGCATGGTTATACTTTTATCTGAAAGTTACTCTATTTTCTTTAAATAAGTATAGCATTTCTTAATAAAATTTTGTTTAAATTTTAGAGCATGTGCTTCTCAAAAGCATAGTATTACTATGGAAATGAAAATATTCAGATTACATTCAGCTTTTCAGATTCAAATCCTTTTCCATATAAACAGAGAGGTATCCGGGCCCCCACCCCCACCCTGTGTCCCCCCCGCCACCCCAAGTAATAGTTGTAATCAGTAGTGACCATTTCCTAGTTGAGAATTCAGGTATCTTTTTCAGGTATCATTTTTATCATTATTATTAATTCCAGATATAACTAAAGCCAGATGCTCTTCAAATCTGAAATGGGAACATAAAAACACACTCCTGAATTAGGGCAGTAGGCTCTAAATTTGTTTGTTTGTTTTAGAAAGCCAGGAGTAGATGTACTGCAGGCATACATTAGAGACACTGGGGTTAGGTCCAGACTGTAGCAGTAAAGAGAATGTCGCAATAAAATGAACCACAAGCTTTTGGGTTTCCCACTGCATAAAAAAGTTCTGTTTACCCTGGGTGTTGTCTATAACGTGTGCAATAGCATTATGGAAGAGTCTGAAGGACCGTGAGACCACCCAAAGGTGACAGACACGCGCAGCATCTCCTGATGCTGGAAAACAGCGCCCCAGCCTTGCTGAATGCAGGGTCATCAATTTGCACACCACACGCCTTCTGTAATAGCAATCAAGTGAGGTTAGCCTCTTCTCATTAGCTTACAGTTGTACATTGTCCCATTTGCTAATCCGTCTGCCTGGCAGTAGCCTAGAGAACCTACTTAAAATGCAGAGTCCCAGCCAGACGGACAATGGACGGAGTCTAGAGAGGGATCAAAGGCACAGGGGTTTTTAACAGGTGCCTTAGGCCCCGTTGGCCATGTGGCGTTTGTTTGGGAGCCCTGATAGTCCTCCACTTAACCACCGTGTACTGACCTGCATGCTCCGCCTCAGAGTAAGTAGAAAAGAAGAGAGGGGGGCAATCCAGTGCTTTGAGCTCTCCGGGTGGGGTGTTCAAAGGAGGCAGAGTGTCGTAATAAAATTCAGCGGGTTGACAGCATCGAGGGACAAAGGTGGCAACACATTGGAGAGCATGTCACACACCAGACTGTGGGGTCCGGAGGTCTCCAGACAGTGTCTAAGGTCTGTCACTGCAATGTAACCTTCACCTTCAGAAGCCACAATTTACTGTGGACCAATGCGGGAGTCATAAAAGAGTCTACCACATGAGGTTGTTGTGAGAATTCAATCAAAGGATTCAGGGGTAGAATAGCAAGAAGATGGCTGCTTGCGAAATAGCCAGCATTCCGTTTCATTGGCGAAGGGAGGCGTGGTGTAAACCCAGTCTAGGTTGGTTGATGCAGCTGGTTGCTTGTGTTCAATTATGGGTGTGGGGGGCTTTGCATCTCAAGCACTCTGCTGCAGCAGCCTTGCACTCACACAGCATCTGGTTGATTCTTGTTGGGGTTACTGGCCATTGATGCTCAATGCCAGATCTTGTCAATTCACGAGAGGCTATCGGTGCCTTTCTTCATTGGTTAGCTGGCCTGCTTCTTTGAGAAGAATCTTCTGCCCTCCTCAGAAAGAGCTGAGCGGCTTCCCACCCTACTTCTAGTCCCATTCCCATTGCGCCGCTGTGTTTCCCGGGCTCATGCTTCATCTGTGCAAGTCCCGGGATGGAGCTGTGTCTATCTGGTGGCTAAATTGGGGTCTAGAGGAATGCTTTAAAATTTTGAACCCAGCTGTGGGAGGGAGGTGGTGGTGGGGGGAGGGAAAAAGGAGGGGAGGTTGAGGAAGGACTTGTCTGCTGCTGATAGGAACTTAAAATGTATCCAAATGGATAAAGAAGTAAACCAATAATACACTTCAACCATGTGGGTGGACTGGGGTGGGGGCAAAGGGGCCACTATACTGAGGTGGAAAAGTTGCTGCCTGGGACTATCATATTTTAATAGGTTTTAAATACACAAATCTCTTTTGCAGGCTGCTGTTGCTCTAAAGAAACTTTATGAGGAGTTTCCTCAGCTATACAATAATAGTATCGTCTGTTCTTTCTTGCCAGAAGTTATATATAAGGTAAAATTCAGGAGTTTTATTGTATGTAATATTGTGTAAACTGGTGGGTATAGCAAGGGGCCTGTGTCACTGTGGGTTGGGCATTAGACTGCTAACCACAAAGTTGATGAAGTTGATGATCCAAACCCACAGCCATATGTGTGTGTGTGTGTGTGAAAGATGAGGCTGTGTGTGTGTGTGTGTGAAAGATGAGGCTGGATGCTCCTGTAAAGTTTTCCCATCTTGGAAACCCTCTGCAGGGTTTCTTGCTTAGACTTGAAATTGACTAATTAGCAGTAAGTTTAGTGTGGTGGGTTGGGTGGAAAAGAAAAGGCTAAGCTTAAGACACCAAGACACAAAGCTTCTAGTCATTCCCCCAGAGAAAGATAAGGCAGTCTGCTCCCACAACGATTCCAGACTTGGAAACCCAATGGAGGAGTCCAGTTAGGCCCTATAGGGTCGCCATGAGTCTCAGTCAACTCATAGCAACCACGATTCCAACTCTTAGCAAGCCTGTGTGCAGCAGAAGGAAACACTCACAGAAGGGACCTCTGGTTCTCCACCACCTTCACCTTCTTGTTAGCGTTGAGGCCATTGTTGCAGCCCTTGGGTCAGTCCATCTGGTTGAGGGGCTTCCTGTTTTCCACTGGCCTTCCACTTTACCAGCCATGATGTCCTTTCCCAGGGAAGAGGCTCTCCTGAGAACGTGTCCGAAGTACACGAGACAAGGCTTAGCCTCCTCCCGCCTAAGGAGCATCTGGCCGTTCCTCTGCCCAGACAGACCTATTCTTTGGGCAGTCCCTGGGGCTTTCACTATTCTTCACCAGCACCATCGTTCAGACTTATCAATGCTCCCGTCGTCAGTGTCCAACCTTCACTTGCATAGGAGGCGATAGAAAATACCATGGCTTGGGTCAGACGCACCTTAGTCCTCAACGTGACATCCTTTCTTTTCAGCACTTTAACGAGGTCTGCTGCAGCAGATTTACCTGATGCCGTGCATCATCTGACCTCTTGACTGCTGCTTCCACGAGTGCTGATTGTGGAGCCACGCAGGATGAAATCCTTGAGAAATTCAGTCATTTTTCCACTCCTCAAGATGTTCCCCATTGGTCCAGTTGTGAGGATTTTAGTGTTCTTTACATTAAGTTGTAGTCCATACTGAAGGCTGCCATTGTTCATCTTCATCACCAAATTCTTCAAGTCCTCTTCACCTTCACTTAAACAGGTGTGCTATCTAGATATCACCAATATTGTTTTGAAGCAAAGCATAGACATAATTTTCATCCATAAAATTCTATCTTTACAAAGCGATTCATTGCTTTAAAAACATAAACACAACCACAATTCCATGTTCCATTTAAAAACTATTAATAGTACATTTTAATATCATTAAATATCCATCCAATCTATGAATTTTTCTGTTGTCTTAGAAATATCACAACCACATGGAAGAAGCACACCAGCCTGTGCAATCACGAAGTGTCGAAGGGATCAGGTATCAGGCATCATCAGAACAAAAAAAACACATCATTGTGAATGAGGTGGGGAGTGCAGAGTGGAGACCCAAAGCCCATTTGTAGGCCACTGGAGATCCCCTTACAGAAGGGTCTTGGGGAGGAGACAAATTAGTCGGTGCGATGTAGCAACGATGAAAAATACAACTTTCCTCTAGTTCCTAAATGCCACCCCCCTCACTATCATGATCCCAATTCGACCTTACAAATGTAGCTAGCCCAGAGGATGTACACTGGTACAGATAGGAACTGGAAACACAGGGAATCCAGGGTGGTTGATCCCTTCAGGACCAGTGGTGTGAGTGGCAATACGGGGAGAGTGGAGGGAGGGTGGGTTAGTAAGGGGGAACCGATTACAAGGATCTACATATAACCTCCTCCCTGCAGGACGGACAACAGAAAAGTGGGTAAAGGGAGACGTCGGACAGGGCAAGATATGACAAAATAATAATTTATAAATTATCAAGGGCTCATGAGGGAGGGGTGAGCAGGGAGGGAGAGGAAAAATGAGGACCTGATGCCAGGGGCTTAGGTGGAGAGCAAATGTTTTGGAATGATGAGGGCAATGAATGTACAAATGTGCTTTACACAATTGATGTGTATATGGATTGTGATAAGGGTTGTGTGAGTCCCTAATAAAATGATTTTAAAAAAGAAAGAAATATCACAAATGGTTTCTTTTTTACAAATTACTTGTTTGAATCAGGACCCAAATAAGCTTTGTATGCTGTAATTTTAGGTCTCAAAACCTTCAGGATCCCCCTCCATCTCGTTCTCTCTTGTTCTTGTGATGTTTTTACTCGTGAGACCAGATTATTTCTAGTTTGTGTGGTGATGTAGTTTAACGTGTCTGCCCCCGTTTATTTCCTAGAACTTGGTAGGCTGGACTAGAGGCTTCCTCGGATTACTTTTTATTATTCTTGAGAGGATGATTTTATAGTCGAGGTATTTTCCCCATCAAGGACCACGTCACAGCTGATGCATTCTTTCCTGGTTTCCTTGTTACTCAGTGGCCAGATCCGCCAACTCACCAGGAATTGCAACCTGTCGATATTTCAATTCCATTATTTGTTCTTCACACCTTAGCTTGCATACTTCATGAAAAGCAACCTCTCCTCCCCTTTGGTTACCCAATAGGCAGGACAAATGTTTGCTTTATCAGTTTTCAAAATCCAGAGTTGACTCTGGACTATTCTTCACCGATGGCCAGCAAATCATACATACATTTTCAATTGGGAAGTAATGTGGTTTACAGACAGTAAAACTTTGTGCCCCACGATGTCTTCGCAGATGCGACAAGCCGATCAGAATATCGTGACGGCGCTAACTCACAGACCTTGGAGCCTGAGCTATACAGGAGACGGGAAACCGCGGTACGATTCCCTGTGGAAGCATTCCATGCTCATGCTGATGGACATTCTGCTCGACTGGAGCATGCACAACATCCTGTGGTACCTGTGTGGGATTTCAGCTTTCCTCATGCAGAAGAATTTCGTCTCCCCGTAAGTCACAGGATCACTTTTCTCCTCCTGACAAACTTCTCGGCTGTTCTACGTGGAAAGGAAGTATCTATGCAGTAGACAGCATGTATTGGGATTCAACCATAATGCCCAATGCACGTTTATAGATAGAGCAGCAAGGCTGCTCGCTTCTTCAGTGCACAAAGTGTAGGCATGTTTTACCATTTCCAACACAGGCTGATGGCACTGCCTTGGTTTTTAGTGCATTTGAAAGACAAGGTGAAGGTGCCGAAGTAGGACGAAAGAGGGCTCAAATGTCTTGGGGTCCAGGGCAGAGCTACAGTGAGGACCCATCAGCCTTTTCGTCTTTGTGCCTGCTTCTCTGCCTGGGATAGGGTCTGCGCCATCACTTCCAAGAAAACCCCCCCTGTAATCAGTCTCTGTACTTTTGCACTGTTACAATCTGGGTTTTCCAGATGACTACATGCTTAATAGTCCACAGCAATTGAAAGTTTCCGATTGTAGGCCAGGCTTGCTTTCCTTCTGTAAATATTTGCAGAGGGCAGCTGCGAAGCTAGTTCTTAACACGGCTTGTCCTCCACGAAGACCCCTCTACTGAGTGACTGTAAAGGATTCCTGGGGCCGCTAGGCATTCTTCTAACAGGATCGGTTCTAACTCTTTCCCCAGGGCCTACTTGAATAAGTGGTCGGCCAAAGGGATTCAGGTTGTTGCGTGGACTGTTAACACTTTGGATGAAAAAAGTTACTACGAGTCCCATCTCGTCTCCAGCTACATCACTGACAGCCTGGTGGAAGACTGCGACCCTCAGTTCTAGACTGTCAGCCCCTGAAGGAAGCACGGGTTCAGAAACCACCTGCGGAGCTCTGGCAGGGAAATTAAAACACCGTATGCTATCCCAAGCTCTGGGGTTGGGGGGAAGGGGGAGGTGGGGTGCCAGGTGACTCACACAAGCAGTAGTCAGTAATTCCATTTTTACTTGAACTAAAGCAAAACCCAGTGTTAGCACCACACTCCAGGGAATCCCTGAATCCACCACTGGGGCTCCCAGGAAGCCTGGGGCTGAGGAAAGGTCCTGGCCGAGATGCACACCGAGCCTCAATGAGAATAAGCACAGGCTGAGCTGGTGCCACGTGGGGACACAGGTGCAAATGCATGGGAAAATGCATGATCCCTCCAAGTGGGCATTTGAACACTTGGCACTTAGGTAATGTGCTGGCGCACTTAGGTAATGTGCTGATGTTGAACAGTTTAGCGTCAGCGACATTAACAACGTACTGTGGATGTCAAACTTGTGACTACACTAATAAAAGTCCTTCAAAGGAGCACTAAGGGACTGGAGTGTCTTGCATCATGCACCAAGGTGTTAGGCATTTAGGGAAGCTGCTATTTGCCGCCCTGTCTACAGGGGCAGCAGCCCTTGGGAAGGTTTCTGTGCTTGGCAAACAAATAGGATTCGGGAAGTCAGTCGAGACCAATCCAAGGGCTTGGTTTCGGGCAGCTGAAAATAACAGCTTTAGAACCACCAGGTGGCACTGTGGCACTTTTTCAGGTTTACTGGGAAGCCTACATTCTCCCACCGTAGAAAATTCTGTGGTTGGGGGAAACCTACCGAATACCTCGGCTTATCCTCATTTTATAAATTAGGGAACAATAGCCTGTAACAGAGAAGAGCTTAGCTCAAAAATCACCTAGCTGGAAGCGTAGCGGAGCCTGATGATTGAAATCTCTAGGTCGAACTTGTGAGAGCCGGAACCCATGGGAGGAGGACCTTGGGAGAGAAGCAGCAGACAGTTGTCTCCACTACACGGAGCAATAGGAGAGTCAAAGGCCAGAAATGCACGGCAACCCCTGTATTAGCCAGGAATGCCCGGGCATTTAACATAGTGGTTCTCAACCTTCCTAAGGCGGTGACCCTTTCATACAGGTCCTCATGTGGTGACCACCAACCATAATATTATTTTCGTTGCTACTTTGCAACTGTAATTTTGCTACTGTTATGAATCATCATGTAAGTATCTGGCATGCAGGATGTATTTTCATTGTTACAAAGTGAACATAATTAAAGCATAGTGATTTATCACAAAATAATATGTAATTAAACACTGTGAAATATTTATGTGTTTTCCAATGGTCTTAGGCGACCCCTGTGAAAGGGTCGTTTGACCCCCCAAAGGGGTTGTGACCCACAGGTTGAGAACCGCTGATTTAACGTGTCAGGTTCCTTAACCTTCATGTAAAGCTACGGAAGATTCACCAAGGCTCATCCCGGTTCAGCCCCCAAGCCGGGAATCTGCGAGTTGGCCCCAGATGTACCACAGCAGCACCTACATTTTAACAAGATCCTGGTGTACACATAAGAATCCCCTAGGGAATCCCAAAACCATTGGAGGATCTCGTTTAAAAAAAACAGCAAAAACGTAGATTCTGATTTTGTGTATCTGTGTGGAAAGGCAGTGTCTCAGCAGGTACAAACCAGAAAGAACCAGCTCAAACCCCTGGGGGTTTTGTCCTCTTTACTGATGAGGAGGGAGCACTGGTGGCATAGTGGTTACTCGATGGGCTGCTAACCGCAAGGTCAGCAGCTCAAAACCAGCAGCCACTCTGAAGGAGACAGGGCATTCTCCCCGAAAGAGTTGCCATCTCAGAGACGCGCCGGGGCAGTGCTACCTTGTCTCGTCAGGAATTGACTCAGTGGCAGTGAATTTGGAGTTCGCTGATGAGGAAACTGAGGCATAGCAAAGTTGGTCCGTTCCCCAAGGTCTCAGGCCTGACTTCCAAACAGACCCAGCTACTCCTGTTCCTGCAGTCTGACACCATCTCCTACCCTCTGTCCACCCCCTCCCCCAGCAGACTCAGCCACTGGCCAGGTCTGCTAGCCCTGGACTCCCAAGTAGGTGTTCTTTCCCACGAGAGCTGCCAGTGAACCTAGGTATGTTAGGAGGAAAAAGACCACAAATTCAAACGTGTTTTATAGAGACTCCCTGATGAAATCCCACACAGAACCAAGACAAAGCCCAACTGGATGAGGGAAACCATCAGCAAGGCTCGTGGCCACCTGACTGAGGGTGGCTTGGGCACCAGCGGCAGACCGATTCATCTTGGTCGCAGAAGGGGGCAAAGGGCAGAGGCTGGGACATGTCACGTCATCAGATGTACATTAGAAATATTGATTGGATTGGTTGTGAGGCCCTTTGATGACCTGGCTACTTGATTGGAGGGGTGAAACTCTTGCCCATGCAGCTCTGATACCCTGGCCAGTCACCTAAGGGCGAGCCTGTCCCACCCTACGCTGGCTCAGGCAGCTATAATCTACTTCAAACACACCCTCTCAGGGCAGGGCATTACATGGCAGGTTTGTGGGAAGAACCCAATGGAAACTTGAATCTCCATTCAGCATTCACTACTGACAGCCTCCAAACCAGGGCCTCTAACACAGGCGGCAATGTTTCAAACGCAGTGGGGGGTTTTAAAAGTCGCAAGCTGCCCTTCTTCCTCCGTGCTGCGCCCCATAGCACAGGTCGCAGCAGGCAGGCACAGAGTTTGGGAGGACCAGCAGCCCACCAGAAGCAAGAAAATCAAACCCACGTTTATTCCAGTGGGTGGTGGCAGGGGCATGAGAGACGGAGATTGGGCGCTTTCAGTCACGGTCCTATTCCTGAATTTAAAAAATGACCAAGAGGACAAATAGGTAGCCAATGACTGAAACAAACATTTAAGCTGCCGTATCTCCATGCTTTGGTGAGAGAGGAGGAAGTGGTAAAAATAACAATAATTGATTGAATTATTGAATTGTATGACAGAGATGAAGGACCAATAAAACTTTAAAAACAAACTGATAAAGATAATAATTAAGAAGAGAGAGAGAGAGACCAGAGAAAACCCTCAGAAGGGGCGAAGGCCATCCTCAACAAAAACATCCCACCTGGTTAATCTGATCAGGGCCTGTGCAGTGGTCGCCTCACTCGGGTTGTCGATGGCAAGATCGGCGGTTCAAATCCACTAGCCCCTCCGGAGGAGAAAGAGGAGGCCATCAGTTCCCGGAAAGAAGCCAAGGCTCGGAAGCCTGCTTTAGGGCCGTTGTGGGTGGGAACAGACTTGAGAGCAGTGGTGTGGGCTTTGTGATCCCACACAGTAGGAATTAGCAAACTGACTACCATAGTTTCAAGGCAAAGACAGGCCAGTCGGAGCGCGGACTGAAATGAGGGACGCTGGCGGCTGGTAGGGAGGTGGGGACAGGAGCCCTGCCAGGCAAACCAGGAACGCTGCCTAGCCGGAGCCACGGCAAGCCGCCCCGTGCTGCCAGCTGCAGGTCTGGATAGACAGATCAGCGTTTTCAAGAGAAGGCTGAAATTGGGGGTTTTTTTCCATCTGAAAAGTTTTCATTTTTGAACGGTGGCCTGTGAAAACATTGAGGGCCAAGTGACAGATAACATTGAGGACCAATGAAAGCACACAGGTGGGCGGAATGCAGCACCTGTGCATCCCCTGAGACCACACAGCACTGCCTGGGAGGGAACGCCCACGCGAACTGCCGGTGCCCGTACTAGGTGCTGTGCGGGTTCGGCGCCAATTCACAGCAACGCTATCACAGCAGAATGTCACACTGCCCGGCTCTGCGCCATCTCACAAACAGGCAGAGTTAATAATATCCCTTCTCGTGTTGCCTGAAGACTTCTGTCTCCTGACCTTTTACCCAAATCCATTTCCCCCGACTCTGTCCGACTCAGTTTAAAGGACGTAGGTGAGCTGGGCTTGGAAGAATGGAGAATTTGGGTAAAGAAAGAAGATGCCAATAAGTATTACTAATTAGCACTTCCTTGGGAGGCTTAGTCTGGAGGTTAGAGATGGGATTTGAATTAGAGAAAGCTAAGAATTCTCAAGCTGTGTGATTTCAGGCAGGTGACTTAATTTGTCTGTGATACAGGCTCCACAAAGAGCCCTTGTGGTGCAATAGTTAAGCGCCTGGCTGCTGCTACCCAAAAGGTTCAAACCCACAAACCCCTGCAGGTGAAAGCTGGGATAGGTGCTTCTGTAAAGATTTACATCCTTACCCTATAGAACAATTCTACTCTGCCCTATAGGCTTGCTATCAGTCTGAATCAACGTGGTGGATTGGCTTTGGTTTTATGGGTATCCACCTGACAGGGTTCTTAGGATTCAATGAGAGGCTGTGTACAAAATACTCATTAGTCACATTTATTGGCTGCCTACCGTGTGCCAGGTACATCACAAAACAAGCCAGTGGACAAAACCCACTGGCTCTGTGACTTGAGTGGGGACTAGCAGCTAAGGCACACATGCCTCCAATTATCCATTGAACAATTAAGTACCCAGAGCAAACACACTGCCAGGGAAACTAAATGATCTGAAGTCAAACAGAAGGAGCAGGATAAGGATTATAACCCTGGTGGCTTCATGCCAAAGCCGGAACTCTTAGCCCCTGCTTATCATTGTTCCTGGCATGCAGCAAGAACCCACTGGTGATAAGTATCTCAGTTATTCAACACCTAGTGCAATACCAGTTGCTGCTCAATAAACATTTGTGGAAGGACTGAATTCTAGGGAACGCAAGGGAACACTTCCTTGCGGTCCCCGGAGTTAATAAGAGTATAGTGAAATGAAAAGCCGGGACAGAAGATGATGTATGCAACATCCATCAGCCTCAGGGGGCCAACCAAGGCCATGGCAGTCTTCCCGGGAAAGTGAATCCAGAGGGATTCACATCCTGCAGAAGGAGGGGCCGCGCAGGGGGTGTATCCAGATACATGATGTCCCTCTACAACAAAGACCTGAGAAACCAGAGGAAATGCCAGGAACAATCTAAACAGCAAATGAAAGGGTGAAGAAGAGACCTGAACACGGACGAGAAAAAGAAAGGGCAAGAACGCAGCGTATCAAGAGCTGGGCTCAGCGCGGCCATCTGGAGAAGACCCCATGAGAGGAGCCCAGGAAGCCAATGTCATGGCATTCCCAACAAGAGACAGACACTGTCGGAACAGCCAGCGTGAGTAGAACATGACCCAGCTCTGAGAGAGAGAAACAAACCAACCAGGCAGGAGGAGGGTGAGCACTCCAAGGGTCCAGGAGTAGGCTGGGGAGCCAGCCCCTGCAGTTGGCTATACTCAAGAGCAGTGGTCCCTGATCATTCATGTGGGTGCACAGAAGTAGTCATGGATCCTGGGTGTCAACGGGGGTGAGGGGGGTGTCTCCCACCTTGTGGCCTCCCCGCATCGCTTCACCAAAGTCCACCACACAAACGGCTGCTGGGTCAGTGGACAACACCTCTTCTTGAGTGCTGAAGTCGTGCTTGGAGTGGGAAGCC